GGGGTTGTAACTGCTGTAAATTGCGGGTTACTACTTGATTCGGCACTTATTTCGTATAAGCCTACGTGTAACCTCATTACCAAGGAAGGGTTTTGCGGCTTCAGGTTTTGGGATTTCCGAAATTATCCCCATTATCGTGCCGGAGTCAGCCTTAGTCGTAGACCCTTAACGCTAAACCTATATCCTTCTGCCATTGTATGATTCCAGGAGAATCGCCACCTCGCTCCGCTGGCGCTGGCACGCATCGAGGAGCGCCTCCGTCCCGGACCCTACGGAGGGAAATCTGGATGGAGTGGTTTGCAAAGGTGTTAGTATAGGGGCCTCAATATTAATTGCGATAGGGTGTTGGGCCCAGTATACTATAATTGTAATAAGGTACTATACTATAATTGTAATAAGGTACCCCCATATATATATATATATATATATATAGTATAGGTAATTATTAAGGCTCCTATAGTAGAGGTTTCTGCTCGAGGGCTAGGGAGATGTCTTTGAGGTTTTCAGTGTTTGTTTGAAGGGGTGATCGGCTTCAGGCGCTTATTGTTGAGGGAGGTGCAGGGAAGCTCTGCGAACGAGGGGTGATGCCCTTCTTTGCCGAGAAGGAGTGGGCCGCCACCACATTGGTTCCATTAACTTGTTACAGGAGGCCTTGAACCCTAAATCCTAAACCCTAAGCCCTACAACCCAACCGAAAAAACCACAGGCGTTGGACCGGAAGCCGCACGAATCCCACATTTGTAAAATCGAGTTCAGCCTTAACGCCCCAAGGCAAAGACAGCCCATCGCCGGTGCATCTGGCGCTGAGCCTTCTGGAGGTCGATCCCCTCTTTGGGGGTTGGGGTTACTGGATTTCTGAGAGGGATTGAAGAGTCCTCAAGGTGTTGTAGGGTTTACATTTTGGAATGGGTATTTGGGCATGTGGGTTTCGGCTGTATAGGGCTTTGCAGTCCAGGTGCGGCCGAAAGTTTCGGATTCCCTTTTGCGCAGTCGGGAAGGTCCAACCTGGCTACCACCCAGCCAAACCCCGAACGGCTTAATTAACCAAGTGTTGAGTGGAGTCATAAAGCACGCACGATTTCTACCAAGTGCAAACACCAAGCCCCTCGGTGTGGGCTTTCGGATCGAGGATTTGGGGATTTAGGGTTTAGGTTTCCAAACGCGGAACTGTCAAGCCTTCCAGACCCCGCCCAGCAAGCATTTGTTCACCCTACGTGCGCAGATGCTCGTGAAGAACTGCGGACTGATCATCTGCCAGGCAATCAACCCAGGCGCAGGGACCGACGTTACATCAACTCGACTGGAAGTTCTGAAGTTTGCAGGTGTAAAACGCTTCTGAAATAAATCAAGAATCGTAAGAGCCTTGTTGCAAAGTCTCCGAAGCAAGGGGTCTAGCTGGAGGTTGCATGTGCTGCTCGAGCATCTGTATTGTCTTAAATGGTGGAGAGTTCGGGGAGATGTAGCGGTGAGGTCGAAGTTGGTCTTTACATCGAGGAAGCCGGCAAAGCGGCACTTTGATCCTCTGCTTGTTGCCCGGCTGTGTTGTTATATGTCCTCAAGAACGGGCTGCCGCGAAGATGGGTGTCCAGTATATGGGAGTTTCCGAAAATTAGGGGTACCTTATTTTGGGGCCCCTATAATAAGGATCCTGCTATTTAGGGCATTATATTAGGGTCCCCTATTTTGGGAAACTCCCATATCTTTTTGAAGCGCTCCAGCTCGGCGTTTGCTTATCCGTTCTATCCGCATCTTACGTGCTCCTCCCCCTAAAGCTCTAAGCCTCGTACACCACGGCTTCTTCGACAGCTGCATCAGAAATCAAACTCAGGCATAGATTTGAAGCCTGAAGACGTGGTTTCACTCACTAAGCACACCTTCCTGAGCGATTCAATCCAAGGCCTAAGACCCAAAAACCCAAAGCCTCTGGACCCTCGGTCCTAAACCCTAAACCGAGCCTCTGAAGCAAATCCCTAAATTTCCAAATCTTGAACCCTTAACCCGAAGCCTTCGTAATGTCCTAAGCGCTACACCGCAGCCCGGCAGTGCACAGTCCCCAAAGTCGCACAGTGCTTTTCGACGGAGCTCGTGCGCAGATCTCGCCGAGACCCTCGTCTCACTCGTGAAGAAGCGGGAGAGCTGGAGGTCCCGCTCAAAGATAGTGGAGATATATCCCTGGAATTTAGCAGCCTTAATCTTCGGATCCTGTCGTGTCTCTATGACTATCGGAGGGGGGGGATTGATCAGGGCTCAAAGTTAAACGCATGGTGTTGCAGGACCTCTCGGCCTTCATATGATGGCGTTTGACACACGCAACTAGATAGAGCCTGGCTTCAAGCCGTTGAGTAGGGTTCTATGGGATACACACGGACCTGGAGGCCAGAACGAGCAGAAGGCGGAGTCCAACTAGTTCAAGACGTTCCAAATGGCTTCTGCAACATTTTTTCAAGAGCCGTAGGCTTTTTTAAAGCACTAGCGTTTCTGCAAGACATTTATGAGGTGCAGTCGGAGTTGATCGGGCCATCTAGGGGCAAAGAGACTTGGGCGGAATGACGTTGGGGTTCGGTCACCAGTCTCAAAACCAAACTTGACTGCTAAGCCCCGAACAAGACTGTAGTCTGAGTACCAGCTGACAGAAGATATTATGTAAAGATGGTTCTCGAAGTAGCGCGGGTGATCTCCGAGGTTGATACCATATTTCGTCGAGCGTTTCTTCGAATATTTTTACAGCTGATCGCCCGCTCGCCAGTTCCATGCTTGAACACTGAAACGTCAGGGCCCACACCTCAAAATCGGAATGACTGAAAGTCTTGATCTCGAGAAGCTAGTTACTAGTTTTGAAGACGGCACCAACTGTTGAAAGGAAGAAGTTGAAGCCATGATCCAGCAAACTCATTCAACGGCACCCGCACAGCCAAGACTGGCCATGCTAAACTGCTAAACCCTCGCACGCGAAAACCCCTTAACCCTGAAATCTTTGATGCTAGCCTGTTGGAATCCTCTGACTTTGCCTGGAAAGCACTGGACCCACGGACATAAACATGAGGAATATTGCTACACTAGGGATCCTTGACATGGAACCCTTACTTGGGGGATACGGGAGTCTCTGGAGAAAAGCCCCTTGAAGAAGGTATGGGTTCGGCCGCAACCTGCACAAGACAGGGCTGCTCGGCCTGTTTAGTCTACGGCTTTCGCGCTTTAAGGGGGGGCCCGAGGTCATTAGGGTTTTCAGGCAATGGGGGCTGTGGGCTGTCGGGCGTAGGGTTTCGGGGTTTGAGAGTTTCGTTGCCTGGGGTGGTTTGAGGATCTCCTGGACCTTTGGGGCCGTGTTCAGGATTCTGATCCCGGATGGGCCGGGGATTGAAATCCAAGCCCCGAAGCCATGGACCAGAAAACCTGATTTCAAGCCCTTGGCGGCTTGAAGCACAGAGCTTCAATCCTCAACACCACAGTGCTTGGGGTTCGGTGCTCTATAGTTTGGTGATAGAACCCTAAGTCGAAACCTTGACCTCCGAAACCCAACGGCACTCGGCCCTCAGGTGTTGAATCTTCACAAGCACACAAGACTTCAGAGCTCTACAAAATCATATCCCTGTGTCTGGACAGTTCCTGGAGCCAGACATCGTCAACGCTAACCCTTCAACCCTGCACATTCCCATAGCTCTGCTGAACCCTGAAAGCTTCAACATCCCAAACCCTTGGACCCATCGTCAGGGTTCGAGCAGACGGAGAAAACATCTCAACAAAGAAAAAGAGCAAACTTCATGGTCCCAGACCTTGCAGATTCTCCTTCAACCCTGAACCTAAATCAACCCTTAAACCTTTGAGCTCAAAGCCCTGAACCTGCACTCCCTGTCCAAGCCCCAAATACCCTCGACTCTCACAAGATCCTTGTGACCGCATCAAGGCTTTCAGAGTGGCTCCCACAGGGCATTGCCATCGGTGAGGCAGGGCTGACTTGTAGGGCTAGGGCCGCCATGCTTGGGCGAGCGCAGGGTCGGGCTTCGTGCTGTGCCTAACTGCCGGAGGCTTGGACACCACAAGCCCTAAACCCCAGAGGTTAGGAGTCTGTGTTTGAAGTTTGGGTTGCCACGGAGCCTGGGCCCTAAGTCGCCGACCCGCTTAACAAGGAGCTGCAGATCTTGGTCCAAGGGGTAGTTCTGGATTCAGGGTTTAGCGTTTAATGCAATACGGCTTCGAGGCAACATCTCGGTGTCGATTGTTTTTGGAAGTTTTTGGGTGGCTCGAGAGGCATGCAGGGCGTCGTGTCTGAAGGGGGCTTTTGAGCTGAATTGACTTCAAGGCTTTTGAGTGCCAAGCTGCTCGTGGAAGCTTTGAGTGTTGTGTTGTGTTGCCGAACATTTGACCTCGGTGCAGTTGTGCGTCGAAGCCCCAGAGCTTAAAATCTCCCTCGAACTTGGACCTGGAGTCTTGAGCTCTTCAGCCCCAAACCAACGTGTGCAACCTACGCCACAAGGCCCAAACCCAAAACCTCTGAACCCTTAAACTGCGAACCCCTGCCTGAGTACTGACCATAAATCTCTGAACCCTACCAAATTTAGAACCCGCAACCCCTAACCTCAGACTCCTAAACCCCAGAGCCTGGGACAAAGCCGCAAATGCAGGATCAGCGGGCACAGTGGCGGCAAGCAACGCAGAAGGCGTCTCTGGGCAGCGGGAGCCAGGGTGAGTTTTTTTGACGTGCCTTTTTGAGAGGACTCTTGGAACCTTAGCATAGCGTACAGTGTTTTTCACAACTAGTGCAAACAAGAATCAGAGATTTTTTCTCGGGACAATCGCCCTGCCTTGCTTTACATACTTGGTGATCTCTAGTTATTACCGTTACAGAGCTTGACATGCTGATGTGCGAAACTCAGCCCAAACCTTAAATCCCATCTTCGCAAGCCTACAGCACTGCAGACGACGAGAAGACCTGCAACGCACTGCCGCAGCCTTTTTTCACACTTCGCGGTGCCGGCACGTGCGGCCGAAGATCTGGAACGATGGCTAAGGCCAGGCTCCTTCGGTACATTATAGACTACACTTGCTGATGCTCTCCTCTGCATTCCCCTCTACTGCAAGACAGCTTCTTCTTGCAAAGGTTCACGGCTTCGATTTGAGGTTCCAGATTTTCCGCTTCTCTTTATGTCTGCCGCCCCGAGGGCTAGGCTTAAACCCTTGCAGGGTTTAGGGGCGCGTTATATACCTGCTTGGACGGCTTTGGTGGCGTCAGCCTTGAACCTGGTGTGGGTACCGGAGGAAGAAGTCTGTAGGCACCCGCCGCCGACACCCTACTTGTAAACACTGAAGCTGTGGACACGGTAAATTCTCATTTCTCGAGTCACCGGGTCCCACATCCGAAGTCCGCAAGCGCTTTCATCCTTGCCGGAGGCCCTGACGGTTCCGATCATCTTTGCACTGATCGCACAAGCGATCTCCGCAAAGAATGCGACGACGAGCAGCTGCACAAGAAGGCGCCGCTGCATCCTCCGGAGTGCGGTGGATAGGGAAATTCGTCGTAGGAAGTCGTTGTCAGCTTGAGGGTCTGAGAGCTTTTGTTTTCCATGTTCCAGCAAAATTTCTGGGTGAAAAGGCTCCGGAACATGCGCACACTCTTAGGAGCCTGAACCTTCCAAGCTGTGTCTTGTTGCCATGAGTACAGAAGTCTCTTCTACTGCATGTGGAAGCGGGTCCTTAAACATCAAATAGACCTGGCCGTCACCAGCAAAGGGCTGCAGCCGCTCGCTCAGAGCCCTAATTCCTAAGAATGTTCCGTCCGTTGCGAAGAAGACCAAACGCCACAATCCCAAACCCTGAACGTTTATGCGCGACAAGGGACAACCCACTAGTATCGCTTGTCTTGCTACGGCGAGAGTTTGGAGTGGCGGTTGGGCATTCCCTTTTTAAATCAGAGTCGTGCTCTTCTTGTAATCCTAGTCTTTAGGGCCAGTCCGACGCTCAGTATTATTACAATTCTCATTCTACTTATCGTAATAGTTAAAATTACTACTACCACTACTGCTGCTACTGCAGCAACCACCGCTACTGCTGCTACTACTGCTACTATTGCTACTACTGCTACTTATGCTGCTACTGCTACTCCTCCCACTTCTGCTCCTACTCCTACTATACTATGGCTGCTTTACACTACTGCTTTGCTACTACTGCAGTTGCTGCTGCTACTATTATTACTTTACTACTACTACTACTACTACTACTACTACTACTACTACTACTACTACTACTACTACTACTACTACTACTACTACTACTAGTGCTACCCCTACCACTACCCTCACCCCTGCCAATACCACTACGACGACTACTACTGGCAGCACCGCTATCAATGGTCATGATGATGCACATCTTAGGCATGCACCGCATTGCAGAAGTTGCAATGATCATCCCAGCGCAACACTTAATTCCTACGCCTCCAGCGGAGGCTTTCCCAAACGTGCCCCAACTCAACGAGACCGGCTTCACAGAGCCCCTGCACATCGGTGAGCCGGCGTCCATCGAGCGACTGGGCCTGAAACCTGGTCTGCTCTTCTTGTTAGATGTGGACTTGGGTAGGGTGTTTAAGAGGTTTGTGTCGGTGTGTACAGGGTTTTTATTGGGTTTTGCCAGGTTTGTATTTTGGCGTTCAAGGGTTGGCAGCATGCAGAATCACAGCATGAAGGAATACTCATCAGATGACGGTGGGGTTCTTTTGATAGGAGTCTCCTATATCGTAGTCGGCATATTTGCGCAGTAGGCTTCAAATGCCGAGTGGAAAATCAAATTGAAGCCATGGCCCAACCTTGATCCCTAAACCCGTGATTTGAAGCTGCGGCGGACTAGGCGACAAATGCTGCTGTCCCGACGCAGATCCTGTGAATCTTGACGTGTGAGAGTAGAAGCTGCGGTTTTCAACTCGAAAGGTTGGGCTTAGGGTTTAGGGTGAGACTGGGTAGTGACTTAGGGTTATTTATCTGGTTCATGTCAGTGTTGTTAGTCCTATTTACTATGGCGTTTTGTTTCTAATTTCTCTTCGTCTGCATCATCAGAGAATGTATTTTGCAGTTCTTTGCGTACACTTGTTAATAAAAACAGTTTTTGCATATTGGTATTAGTATGAATATCAGTATTAGTACTGTACTAGTGCTAGTATTCGTGCCATTGCAGTACTAGTATTGGCAATATTGGTGTTCATATCAGTATTAGTATTCGTTTTGGTATAAGTGCGACATTAGTGTTTGTCTTAGTGTGTTAATACCGGCATTCGTATTAGTCTTCGTATCAGTATTCGCATGTATATTACTAATTCGTGTTCGCCTTCGTCTTCGTATTCGTATTCCTATCATTGCTAGTAGTTGTAATGCAACGTCAGATATCCTAGCTGCTGCGAGTAGTTCCGCCGTGTCCAAGTTCTCGTGTTCTCTTCTGTCGCATAGTTCAGCAGGGTGGCAAGTGCTATGCTGAGGATATGGTCCGACGCGCAGGCCAAATGCACGGAGCCACAGGCGTGCATCTACTCATGCTGTCCGGGTGGGACACGATATTGCGACGGCAGCTGCTGCACCGGGGCTTGTGGGCTTGTTGCGGGCAACCTGAAGCTTCACTGTTGCGTCGAGGAGGGCAGCAGTGATTGTTGCGCCGACCACCGCTCTGGCACCCACTGCCAGACCGGCCGGGCGTGTTGCCTGGAGAGCCTGGACCCGAAGTGCCTGGAGGTGGCCGGCAAGTGTCCGAAGCCACCCTCGCCAGACACGGTTCTCATCGTCACTGTCGTCGTCGGGGTCCTCTTTGCGGTGCTGGCCTCCATGGCTTTGGCCAAGCGCTGCTTCTGGCGCACAGCGAGGCAACTGCCATCCTTTTCGGAGTTGTCTTTGCCAATGCGAGGTCCTCGAAACGGCCGGCAGGAGTCAGAGCCATCAGAGTCAGCGGCTACGCAGACGACGGGTAGCAGCGGTGGGCCGTGTTTCCGCTGCAACTCCGTAAATCCTGGCCTATTGGTACATTGCGGCATTCCATGCCGAAATCATGCACAGCGCAGGCCCATCTGCCATCGCTGTTTGGTGCAGAATGACCGATGCAGCCGATGCCGAGAAAGAATGATGGTTGACGAGGTTCTGCACGATGCATCCAGTACATCGAGTCCTTCGTAATTACGTGCACGGGAGACACAACGGCATGCTCCGATCGAAGTTACAGTTTCGAACCAGAGTATTTTCCACTTTGAACCCATGGAATCAGTTGAAATCCTGAAACCTGACCAGACTCCTGAGCACTTTTGCCTAAGCGCCCGAAAGGTTGCATGGGCCTGCCACTTCTGGTTCGCCATTGCCGGGGGCAAATCAACAGGGTCGAACATTTTAGCGTGTTTGTTGTGTGTGTGTGTGTTTCCAGGCCAGTTTGGGTGGCTGTTTCTCACAATATTCACAACAGACCAGCCCCGAAATCCTTTTTGTTTCAGACCCTTGTCTGAGGAGTGTTGGAAGAAGGCAGGACTGTCTTCTAGGCCTTGAAACCAAACTTACACGGCTCGTAAAGCAGGAGTTCCTGCTTTATTGATCCGTCATAGTTGTCTGGATGTTCTAAAAGACGTCATCGCATTGCTGTCATCTGCTATCGCTGTTTAGTATGATTGCCATTCTACCGGAGTCTCTCCCAAGGCTCTTTGTTTCACCGGCCGCATCTTGTACATAGCAGTGGAAAGCTCGGTGTTCTGAAGGCCTTAAGCCCCCAGGCCTCAGACTTCAGGTCCAACACCCCCTGAATGCCTAGCCCTGCCACCGAAACCCTAGGCCTTAGATTGCAAGCTTCGGAATCTATCTTATTCTGCAAGTGACAGCTCTGCAAGCACATGTAGTTCGCAGCGTGACAACCTCGAACTTTTGCAGGATGTCCGGCGTTTAGGGCTTTGTGTGTTCGCTTTTGCACTATAGCTTGTTTTGTTGTTCGTGTCGTAGCGGGGTGCAGGACTCGATCTTGCCTTCTTCAATCGCCCCGGTCTTCGCTCATACCCTGCAAGCCGGTCGTGTCCCAGAAGTGCAGCCGGACAGAACCGCTTCAAATCCTGAGTGCCCAGCCTCCGCCCTAAACCGCAGCTTCCCAAAGCTCAAAGTCCCCAACCCTGGACTCAAACGTAATAGCCGAGTGGGTAGCTGGTACACTAGGCAGGATATTATACCATAGGTGCAGGGATATCGGTTTCCTTCGGCCAAGGAACTCAGCAACTAAATAAACCCCCGGTTGCCAACGCCCCAAAGCCTCAAAACCAGAAGCCGTAGAACATGATGGAAGGTCCTCGAAATCCTTCAGCTCAGTGTCGACGCTTTCATGCTGCTGCACCGGCATCTGTTTTTGTTCAAAGGGCATGTTCGGCTTGACTGGGTTGTGTGTTCAGATTCCTGAGATCAGGAGGGGAACGTCATGTCGACCTGACAGTTTGGGTATTCGCTGTCACGGTCTCGTGCTTGACCCATTCCTCTCCTCGGGACGGGGCGGCGTGCACCTGGGGACTCGCTGAAGCATAGGGAGGGAGACGGCTCTGTGAAATCAGCGCGGTGATTTCAGGAATTGAAGTTGTGTGTCGTGCACAATACTAACATCTGCCACAGCAGTAGGCGTCGCAGTGGTGATGGTGATGATGGTGGTGGTCGTGGTCGTGGTAGTTCCAGTACCAGCAGGAGCAGCAGCAGGTAGCAGAAGGAGCAGGAGTAGGACTTCGGAGCCTCAACTCTTTTCATCCCTGATCTCCCGAAGCCCGAGCTCTTCAGAATCTTCGAAGAACCGAAGAGCCTCGGCCGCCCTGAGCTCTGAAGATCCTGACACTGCACCGTTAAGCTGACATCCCAGATTTTCTGGAACCTTGCATTTCTAGCCGACGGCCACTCGACAGAAGACCGCTGAACCGAAACCTGTGCAAAGCGTGAACCCTAAAACGCCCTGAACCCGAAAGGAACCCTGAGACCCTTGACAGCCTGGTCCATGACGCGCCGCCCGCGCCAGGCATGAAGGAACCATGCGGCCGGTCTTCAACGCGTGACCTCCAAAATCCCGGTTCCTCAGATCTCAGATGCCCTTGGAACCGAGACCCGTGAATGCTAGGGCCTCAATCCCTAAAACCCCTACACGCTGAACCTTTCAACTCGATAAAAGGACCCTCAACCCCAAGCCCGAAACCAGAGGTACAAGCGGCTGAGACAGGAAGGCTACCAGTTCCCTCGGTCGTCCACCGGCGTGGCCGCGTGGACCCCAGCAGTCCTAACCCCTGAACCAAACTACCCTATTGCCTAAACTAAAGCCTACAGTCGTTTTGGGGCTATGGAAGTCCTGAACCCTGACTAAAGCCCGAGCTTGGGATTTGCGGCTTGGGCTTTCGGCGCTTTGCAGAGGGAAACTCTGGGCCTCCGAAACAAGCACGTTTTGTCGCAAGTTTGTGTGGGTGTTCAGGTTTCGGACTTCTGGGTTTAGGGCTTCAGTTTCGAGTGAAGGTGTGGGGATGTGCGGTATAGAGTTTATGCTTCACGGAAGTGACAAGAAACGATAGAAGACAAGCAGCGAAGCACTCTGCAACCAATGCCATGGTGCAACAGGCCAAATCACTCATGTTAACAAGAAGTGGCGGACTGTATTTCGATGCGATTTCCGCGGGGCCATACGGAGTACAATGCGGACAATGTAATGATATGGAACAAGTGACGGTTGTCAGGCGGGCAGTTGACTGCTCGTCTTACACTGGTCGATGTAACTGCTCAACCATTGGAAACCCGCAAGCGCACGAAGCTTTAACCGCATAACCACCTGTATAATTGGAACTGATAGGTTTCTGCTCGGCACAGTGACACCCTTAAGCTAAACCCCCAACTCTGCACCTCAAAGGGGATTGGAAATCCTCTGCCCGCAACTCACTTCAAACCCTTAAAAACTAAATACGAATACTAAACCTGTCTAACGTTTCTAAACCTTGGAGTCATCAACATCCTAAACCCCAGCACCCCAAAAGCACTACACTGTCCTTCCCGCCCCTTGCAAACCCTGCAAAACCCCAACATATCACTGCATACAAACCCGATAACTGCAAGGACGTTCCTAAGCATTGACGACATGTAATTCCATGGTAATTTAGTCAAGGTGAATTCCCTGTACAAGTATAGCAAGAACAGGCCAATCTCTGTCTCGTGAACGGTGCGGAGAACAGTTGCGGCCTCAGAATTGCGGTTCCTTCATGTTTTGGTTTCTTCGACAGAAACAGTGTTTTTGAAGGAATGGAAGGAGTGGTTGATGCTTTTAAAGGATCTTTGAGGTTGGTGAGGCCTTCTGCTTTCTGCTGGTGGGGTTCACAGGTTTCAGTCGTTTTCACGCCTTTTGCGGCTTGAGGGTTTCAGGGCTGCTGCTACTACTTCTGCTGCTGCTGCTACTACTACTACTACTACTACTACCACTACTACTACTACTACTACTACTACTACTACTACTACTACTACTACTACTACTACTACTACTACTACTACTTCTCCTTCTACTAGTATCTAGTCGTAGCAGTAGTACTACGACGACGACTCCTACTGCTAGTGCTGCTGCTGCTGCTGCCACTGCTAATGCTGTCAGTAGTAGTGTTGCTTTTCCCTACATCAACAAGAACCATCCTGGTGGAAGTGAAGCAGCCGCCCCTTCAGTATTGCTAGTGATATGCAGCTCGACGGTCATGGCTGTTTTTAGCTTTGAAACCGTGCTGCCGCGTATACAGTGATGGCGTCTGTGTGTGTGTGCGCGAATGTGGACCTATTTCAGTCGGCAGAGCGTTGCATCCATTGTCAACACAACTACTGTAAGTGAGTCGCTGATGTCAATTTATTTCCTCGCATGGTGATCCTGTTGATCATCTAAATGATCAGGAGCACAGTCGCCATCATGACGGTGATTAATTCTACACCCCAACCCACAACCCGCAGCCTAACGAATCCTAACGAACCCAGTCTGAAGGCCCGGCCTACCTTGCCGGCGCCACGCCGTCCGCCGGCACACCGGCGCCGACCATCGCACCGGCTCCGCAGCCACCGGCGCGACCCTCGGCAGAGGCGGAAGACGAGGCCGGAGAAGGAATCGGGCTTTAGAGAGAGGTTTGTGTTTGCAGGAGTTCTGTGAGAGTTTCAGAAGGGTTTGGAGTTTTCCAGCGTGATAAGGGTGTTGTAGCGGTTCAAGGGGTTCGGAGTTGATGCCTAAAGACTTTTTCATGCTACGGAGAATAGCATGAGGATCCTTGGTTTAATTTTTCCAGAGAGCTACTGAGCTTATTGGTCACGAGTTTGCATGAGCAAAGAAGGTACCGCGTTTGCTGGTGTTGGTGTTGGTGATGGCGGGACATTCCTCTCGGGCATGTCGACTTTAGCATTCAGAGCAGTGCAGGATTGCTAAAGCTTCCCACTTTTGTTTGATAAGCCCAGTCGTCTGCGTTGAGAGGTACATCTTCTGGGCTTGAAACGAAGCATGTCAAGTTAAGATGTCTGGTCGCAGGCTGGGAAGATTTCTTAGACCCCTGGCAAACAAACCCACTTCCCTCAATCGGAAGAATAACTGGAAGGCGCATGAGTGGTATACTGCTACCAATCACGGATCTACACTGAGCCTCAAACCCTAAAACCCGTACAAAAGCAGGCGAACATAAAACCTGCAAAGCCCTATAGACAACTAAGCTATTCCAATGATCTCTAGTCACAAGTCTGCGGCAACGAACCTTTAATCTGCAGTGCTCGTTTCCTGTACGTAGTGCAGTATAAGCGTCCGGTTTTGAAATGTGGAGGAATCACGTTGGTACACATGCCAACAAAACTTCGATCCAGCTACTATATTTCTGCAGGTAAAACTTTCGTTTTCGAGTATTGAGGAAGTAAATGCCTACAAACCTCAAGGAAGCTACTTATCAGTCTCAGAAAGGCCCAGCACAATCTTTTAGCCATGCCAGAAAGAAGGCCATGGACCCTGAAGCCCAGTCGTACGAGCCATAGTCATGACTCGACGCACTTCGATCTGTTCGCAGGAGATCGCCCGAATGATTGCCGGGATGCCTACCTCTTTTCGGCTTTGCTTTGCAAACACCAGCGCCGCTATCACCCCTCAACCAGGAAGATTCCTTAAACTTGTAAAGAAAAGAGGCCTAGCAGGACATGAGACTTTCATCCTGTTATCAGGGGTATTGGACTTTCTGGGGTGAGCAGCCTGGGACCAGTTCTAGGATTTCACATAGGGGTTCCGTAGTCAGAGCATTCTTGTTAAGTATACCAAGCCCTAACCCTTAAACTTTAGCTCGGAATCCTTGAACCCCACTATTTGATCCCAAATCCTTAAAGCTTACGAAACCCACGACCTGAAATCGAAGTCCGCATTCCGAGGGCGCTCGCGCTGATGCCTCGGAGCGGGTGGAGCAGCTGGTGCAGGCAACATTGTCGGACAAGTTGAGTCTTGGGCTTAATCCTTCAGGTTGAGGGTTGTGGGGCACGTGTGTAGAAAAGATTCAGAGTTTGTGGCTTATCAGTTGGGGGTTATGTTTCAGGGCTTCCGCTTGACTGAAACGACTCACTGGAGGCTTCGCGATCGCGCTGTATGTTTTTTTAGGGTTTGCGATGTGTCAATACATCCAAAGCTGCTCAACCCAAAGCCTCCAGCGAAAAGCCTAAACCCCCGAAACCGGCCTGAGGCCCATGCCGTCAGGACTAAAACGTACGTTTAAACTTGGACCCGCCGAACTCCTAAGGCCCAAGCCCTCAGCCTTAGACCCTAAGCTCCTGCAAAACACGGCCTCCGCGCCATTGAAGGGGCTCGAACTGGAGCCCCGCAGTCGTCAGGCACTGGAGCAGGGCCGGGACTTCGACCCACAGGCTCCTCTCTCTCTCTTGTGTACTGGAGGCTTTGGGAAAAGGCTCTTTAGGAGGCGAGCATTTAAGCCCTTTCTGGGCGCTGCAAGGCCTATATAGTCCCAGAAAGGAGGTTTCATCTTCGGTTGCGCTAGGAAGCTGGACATGTAGAATCATGAGGTCTGCATTTAAGCTTGCGAAGGCCGTACTAGGTGTTTACAGGGTTTTGTGAAAGGCCTTATGCAATGAGAGTTTTGTTGAGTCCCGACTTCGACTTCTAGTTTTTTTGTATTCAGAGGAGTTTAGGTACCAGGTTTGAGGGTTTGGGGTTCCGGGTTCTAGACCTGGAGGATGGAGGTCCTTGGGCAGTCGGTGGTTGGAAATGTGCCTACCAGGTGTCCTAAGTGAGGTCATCTTACTTGCAACCGTCCTTATTAACTCGCCTTTTTCGGAGCTGTTACCTCGAAACCCCAAAACCCTACTCCTAAAGCCTCAGTGCATCCATCAGGGCTTGATGGTTTTGCGATGAAAGAATGTTCGGCCCGCGTCGGATCGTTTGTTCAGAGTTTTAGCAGTTGGAGGTTCAGGCTCGCCTTTGTGGGATCCGACTACGCGTCAAAGATCGACACCTCATGTGGCCTCAGGACCAAATACCGATACCCCAGCCCCTATGACCCAAACCCTTATGACCCAATCGTAAGCGCCGGACTCTTAATGCTGAGCCTGAGCCCTAGGCCCCGAACCCCTGAACCCTGAGAATGCTTAATAAAGCTCTCATGAATTCGTCACAGATCCATATAAATCGCATCACGGACGTAACTTACAAAAAGCAGTTGCAAAGTCTTACAGACCTTTGCTTTGTTTTCTTAATCTACCGCCCTCCTAAATAAAATGCCTGTCAAGCAGATCCCCAAAGCCCCGAGGAGCTGGATGAGCTCATCACCTTGGTGGAGGCCGGTCTAAGATCGTTCCCCGAGAACTCAAGTCAGTATAGACACCTTGTGACAACAATGCGATATTCCACGGAAGCCCGAGCAAAATTTATCCAAACTGACTTTTACTACTTTATATATATATATATATATGTATATAATTAGAGGAGACGGAAGAATCCGAATAGTTTTTGTTTCAGAGCAGTTTTCTTTGTTCGGGCTGATTGGGTTTTTATAGGGTTTCGCACAGGGGCCTTCATAGTTGAAAGATGGGCTGTAGGTGCTGTGTACTGTTACAGTATAGTAATAGAGTCTAAACGGAGACGCTCTTACTACATATTCAGATCTCTGCATTATCCCGAAGATGATGTGAATCTGTATGGCGTATACTAGAGGAAGACTCCGCAAATTGTTGCGGGCTTCTTACTACGGTGTATGCAGACTTCTCCTTATGGTTTGAGGTCTATGCCTCTATTTCGGGATCTTGGGCCCTCTGGGTCGTCAACGTCCCAGGCTTTTGCGTTTCAGGGTTTTCGGGTTTCGGATTTAGTATTGAAGGCCTGGGACAAGAACAGCCCTATGAAATCTGACCCACTGCTTCACGCCCCAAAGCAGCAACCGAATCTCCGGACCTTGTCCGCACAGCCGGCTAGAACCAAGACCCTCGAAGCTTGCGGAGCCTTCCAGCATCATCCCGTCTTGACTCCGCCGTGCTGAGGAACGCTTGAGAGTCAACGATGCTCTACACCCTAAACTTCTGAAAGAAACTCCCCCGCTAGCCAGGACATCTCGGAGGTTCTTCGCGCCATGGGCGTCGAGGACGAGGACGGACGGCCAAAGGCCATGCCGAAGTTTGACTTTAAGGTTAGAAGGGTTACTGTACTAAGAGAAGCAACTGCAAGCTTTCGGGCTTCGAGTTTTGTTGGTTTCAGGAGTGTTTGAGGGTTCACGCTGCACATGCTCCGCAGCTCGTGTTTTTTTTGTTTCTGGCATGTGTGTATGGTGCGTATATGTGTGCATACTTATGCGCTGCGCGTCACACGCGTACATTCTTGTTCATACTCTCGTGTGTGGATGTAGGTGGGCAGGCAGGTAGGCTTGTCCTGCCTGTGCATCTGGGGTGCCTGTACGGCTTGTGCGAGACTCATCTGGGTATATCTAGGTTGGTGTGGTTTCCCCAGTGAAGGCGGCGCAATGTAATCTGCGTAGGAAAAGGAGGGATGCGCTGGCCCAAGCCTTAGCAAGATCCGCCCGAAGCATGTTGAACCGTTTGGTCTCCCACCGAAACTTATGTGCGGCCTTTGCAGAAGTTCATAAGACAGCATGATGAAGCATTCCGTAGGCTTGAAACCTTGAGGGTTCTGGTCTCAGGGGTTTGTCATAGAGGCGCCGCCTCCTTCGTCCGTTCCTCCGGGAGCCATTGGCGCTGGCGGCCTCAGATGTTGGCAGCAGAAACTTCCGGGTTCCCATATACCTCCAGCCTACTAGTCCTACTAGTGAAACTAAGCACGAAATCGTCAAACTTAGAACCCTCAAGTCTGAAAGCTCGGAACCATGACGTCCTTAAATCCTGGACCCGTGCATAAAAGAACTCAAACACCATAGCTTTTGAAGCCCGAACACAAAGCTAGGCCTGGGAGTTCCGCGGGTAGATTTGTTTGGGGGTTTCGGGCTTCGGGCGTTGTGGTTCGACGTGGTGCAGCTTTCAGGGTTTGGTGCTGAAGGCTCAGGCTCTTGGGTCTAGGCTGAAGGGTTTAAGACTTCAGGGTTCAGTTCGTCGCTGAGCGCTGTGAGGTGATGGGATTTGGCGCAAGGCTTCCGGGCTATGTAGTTCTGATTTTTTGGGGTCTGAGTTCCGTTGTTCTGCTGCTTGGGGCTTGGGGGTTTTGGACTTCAGAACTCTTGCATGCATTGCCTGGACAGTAGTATAGGACTCGTAGGAGTACCAGGACTAGTAGGAAGGACTAGTGACTAGCAAAGAAATATTAAAACAATCAAAACAGCAAGTACAGTGACCGTAAGGCTCATGAGGAACACCATAATGCCAAAAAAGATGAAGACGACTACGAGGATGGACGGAATGAAGATGAAGACGACTACGAAGATATCGACGATGATGAAGATTTAGTAGGAAGATGGCTGAGGAGGATCAAGATGTGCATGGAATTGAAGATTTGCACGTTTGCATACGTTTCAGGCTATACACACTGTACCTATTATACGCATTGCACATTTTACGTACTTTACATACATGTTTTGTTGTCATGTTAGACCGACATGATATTCACACCTTACACGGTATATGCATAGTGCACATGTTATGCACGTTGTGCAGACGTCTGGTACCCAAGATAGAGGCTACACGTGCTTGGACATTGGTACGTGGCTGGCCTCCTATGGTGCAAGAGCTTCCGGCCCCGAATTTCAGAGGTCCGGAATGTCCCAGCTGCCCGTGTCATCAGCGAGTCGCCTGAAGGGCTCCTCATCGACGACACAGGCCGAGCATCAAGTTTGTGTTTTTGCGCTTTGTGCAGAGACCATGTTGTTGCAGTTGCTGGTGCTGCAGCTGCTGCTGCCGCCGATGCTGTTGATGATGGTGATGATGATGACTTCTGTGCTTTGGCCTAGCAAATCAAAGTGTCTTGCTATGTATTCTTGAACTACACATGGATACGGACTCCTGGTTGTTATAGTTTGCTAGATTTTCCAAGGCAACTTCCTGGCCACCCTTTGTCATCACAGTTCTCTTATGCTCTGTGCAGTCACTGTTCTTGCGTATGCCTGCGCCATAGCTGCAGAACAGTAAACCGTCAGTTTTTTGACATCTCAACCCCTACGGTCCCAATCCCCAGATGCCTCAAATCCTGGAGACAGACAACTCCTGGAGACAGACGCCCAAAAATCCGGAGCTAAGCCCTCGAAACTCTCCAGATGCTCCGAGCCCCAAAGTCTCGCCTGTGCGCGCAGGTGGAGCTTCCCAGTTCGAGCCGGCCGCAGCCTTGGCTTTGGAGTTTCGGAGAAGCCTTTTCGGGTTTAGGGATGTTCAGGGTTCAGGTTTTTTTTTGGGTTAGGGCTTGCGAGGCGTGGGGTGATAGAGTTTCGGGGAAAGGGGTTTCGAGGCAGAAAGTTGGGGTTTAGGCTTTCAGGGTTGAAAGGCTTGAGACCCACATGCTCGGGAATTGCGGCTAGAGTTAGACTTTCTTGTACTTCGAGGCTTGCCCTGGTAAATCTGAAGGGTTTGAGAGTTTGGTTTGAGATGATTTGAGGTTTAAAGATCAAGTATAGCACCACTATTTTGGTCCGGTTAGACTCTAGGATCATTTCGTGGGCAGTTGAGGTTTATGATGGTCAGGGTTCCAACGTCGCGGCAAACGCTGAAACTCTGGGACCTTTGCATCCTTCGTCGTGCAGCCTAAATTCCACCGACATGTGTCTGAAGACAGGCCATGCACGCGCCAATCTTGAAGCAGCACTTAGGACATGCTATTCGCTGAGCTCGTGCGTATATGTATCCGCCAACACGCGTTCATGTTCATCTTTATGTGACCTGCACAGGCCTTAGTGCAGAAACTTCTAGACCAACTGATCCCGCAAACGCAGAATGTCCTGAATCCCCGGAGCTCCTGGCTTTCTCGAAGCTTCCTGACAATACCAAGGAGGAGTCTTCAGATCGGTGGGGGTTCCCAAGATCGTCAAAGGCGTTTTGTCACTCAGGGTTGATGTTGGGGTGGCGGGTTGAGGTTTGGGGGTGAAGGTTTGGGATTTCGGGCTTGTGGTTTCGTCTGCAGTTTGAGGCCTCGGGAGTGACCGGGGCCCGGGGCTGAACGTTGACGGGATGAGAAGAAGCCAGGGGCTTGTTCACAGACGCAGTGGGTCAGTGAGAATTGGCGAATTGCCAGCTAATCATGCGATTCATATGGCTTCAAGAAAATGCAATGGGTCGATGTCTTGTTGGAATACGAAGGCTAGCTCAACGCAAAAAGCACGAAAGCTGTTCTTGCAGCAGCACTTTCAGGACTTGCCCTCTCCATTCGGCGGCAGCAGCTTGATGCCGCAGCAGTAGAAATTCAAGAAGAGAGCCGATGTCGTCACATGCGTGCTTACGATAGGGGCCTTAATAATTACCTATACTATTTTGGGGGTTCCTTATCATAATTCTAGTATAAGGGGCCCCAAAACCCCTATTCTATTTATTAAGGTCCCCATATTGTACAAATCCGAGTATTTGCACTCCTTCGTCTTAAGCTCTGAATCCTCCGACCCTGGAGCCTGTAACCCCTTTGTCCTGAGCGCTCAGCACCGAACCCTACAAACCTAGAGCTTTCAACCCTCAGCCGCAAGCCCCAAGTCCCTAAGCCCTGGTGCAAGCCTAAACCAACATTAGCCCGTTATAGGCTAGGGGTGCTTTGCGGCTCCACGCCGTTTTCTCACCTTTCCTTAACATGTCCACAACCCGGAATACCCTAAACCATTCAGACCCGTTTCCTCGTCAAACCCTTGTCAGCCTCGGGGACGCACCCCATGGGCCCAGGTCTCCCAGCCGTCCCTCCGCGTCTCCCGAGGTTGGCGATCAGGGTTCCTTTCGTGGAGACGGGGAAGGCTAGATAAGCGGCTTCTGAGGTTTTGCGATCTAGTGCCGCCTTCGTGGTGGTCGTTTAGCCCCTGATTTCAAGCTCGAACCGTTCTAAAACGCCTCGAAAAGCTTCGCAAGCACTCACACGAAATCTGGGAACTTGTTTGGTACCCCTCTTTAGAAATTTCCTGACCCTGCACTGCTTGACATTCAACCCTTCGTACAAAACCTTATGTAAGCATCCGTCTGTGTAATTACTAACCGCAGAACTTTCATGCAAAGGATCTCGGAGACCCGCTCTACGACGCTCCCGGAAGCGCGGCGGGCAACGTCTCGGGCTCAGGTTAGATCTGCGAATCTGGAGTCTTAAGGGATTCTTGAAGGAAAGTGAGATTCTGCGACATTAAGGATCCTCAGTGTTCACACTTTTCGGACCCCGCCGTAACCAAGGTACTCGAGTCTGGAGCCTAGGGGGTTGTGAAAGTTAGCCCTGTATTTCAAGCTCTTCCCTGAGCTTTTCTGCAATTTTGCGTGCCTGCTTCTGTGATTTGCCGGCCGCATTTCTGACAGAGGGTCGCCACGTTCCTTGTTCCCACGATTTCTTACACGTTTCACTGGTTCCCCGATATGCGACCGGCAGTCCTTGCACGATCTGAATTGCGTGTTTGTTTTTTCGCTGCATCGGTTTTCCGGCTGTTTGCCAAGCTTTAACAAGCCCCTTGAGTTTATCGCTATTCTCGAATCCTGATTGAGTGCATCCTGCGATTCGGCACTTTGCCACTCTGTAGTTTCGCAGCTTGTTGCGCTGGCTGCGCTGGCAGTTGTGGTTACTTCTGACTCTTCCAAATCATGAGAGGACAACCGGACGGCCTGGAAGTGGGTGTGCCGAATCTGGTAAGCATAAACTTTCTGCTTTCAACCATCCGCAGCGAAGCCTCGCAGACTTCAGTCCCTAGAGCCGTAAGCCCCACGTGGAATCAGTCACAAAAATGTCCTGAATGAATCTTCCAACTTTAACAATGACCGTTCAGAACACCAATCCAAAAGCAACTGTCTCAACCGAAGCCCACTTAACAGCCTTATGGATATTCAGTTCATAAATTTCATGGGGTCCGACAGGTCTCGTAAGCTGCTTATAATCTACTTGTTTGTCACTCCTCCTAAACCTGATGGCAAGTCCACTACTATACTGAAACAAATTGAAGCAAACAGGTTGGGGCTTCACAGTCTTTGGTCTAGAGGTCATCATTGTGGCTTCAGGATTTCTCGATTTGCCTGCTTCCAGCTTAGCCTTCAAGGTTTGGCACTGAGGTGATAGGGTTGGGCTTCGGGGTCTTCGGAATGTAACCTAAGGTTTCAGGTTTTAGAGCTGGAACTTTAGGGTTTGGCCGTTGGAATTCCTCTGAAGCAACGAGGCCTTGCTTGGCGGGCGTGCAAAGAAGAGGCGGGCAACGGAGAGACAGCATGGTTTGTTACTCAGCCCCGAACCCTTGTCCCGCAGCTTGCAGCGCAAGAATCAGCCTCGATTTTGCTCCTTATTGCAGCAGGGCAACATGCCCCTACACCTTTGTTCAAGTCATTTTGTCCCACAAGTCCATGGGACGCAGCAGAGCGATCATGTAGGGCATGAGGGCCATGAATTGACAGCCCCCAACCCCAACCCCCCGTTTCCGACAGCTTCATGAAGCAGTACCCTGGACTTCGGACCGCCCACAGGGCCTCGCGTGGCTGGTCGCAGTGGGCCGAGTCCATGCGGTCCATGGCAGCAGGCCTTCAGGGTGCGGTTAAGACTTGTTTTGAGGGCTCCTTTTTCAGGTTTTTGTTTGTGTTCTGCAGGACTACAGGGCCTACAGGGTTTGAGGTTTGGGGTCTCGGGCTTCGGGGCTCGAGGTGGTCTGTAGGGCCTGTGGGGTTCCAGGATGGTGGTCAGAGGGCTCAAGGGCTCAATCGGCTTCGTAGGCGAGCTATCACAAATAAACACGATTTGAAGGTTTACACCCTAGATACGAAGTAAGATAGCATAACATTACAAACCCTGCGAGTATCAACTCCCGAGCCGGACGGGGGTGCCCGAAGCCCGAAAGCCTGCACGCTGAACCGTACTCCTCCACTGCAAACTACGTTCGGAACGCGAAACCTGACATCATCAAGCCTTGAACTCCTGAAGCCCCGCAACTCCAAATGGTAAGAACTTTGCTCCGAAACTTCCCACGAAGCCAGAAGCTGTGGCAGGCGGCAGCCGCACCCGGCGCCTCGGCGACGGGGTCCCCAGGAGTGCGCCAGAAGCTCAGCGGGCGGTTCAGGGCTTTTGAAGGTTCAGAGTTGTATGGGCTTCTATGGGGCTGTGCAGGGCCTACAGGGTTTTCGCATGTTGCAGGATTTGGAGATTGCAGGGATCAGCCATGCGAAGTGTCCAGGCTCGCACGTTTCAGGGCGTGACGACGGGTCGGGCGCGAGCTCAGCAATTTCCAGGGAGGCGAAGAATTGAGGAGTTGAGGGTGTGCTTCGCTAAGCCCCAAGCCGTGACATGACGCTTCACGTGGTGTGTTGTGCCGTCTTGAGGCAATAGAACCTTTCTGCGCTGACCATGCGCTCTAATCCCGATCCTGGAATGGAGCATTTGGTAACCCGACCGCTCCAAACCCGTGCTTGACCGTGTAGGCTGCTTTGTTCTGCGAAACCCAGGTATGCCGATCTGGGCGAAGCCGGCACACCGCTGTTTCAATGAGCGCGTGCTGGCCAAAACGACTGGAGTGGCATCCGAGACTCCCCAAAGCCACACACTTTGATCCCAGGGCTTTTGTTCTACATGCAGGTCGCAGTAAGCATAGCCACTGCAACATGTGTTCACTCTCGGGCATAGTTTCCAAGCCATCAAGATCCTTGTAGTTGGGGACTGGAAGAAGCTCCAGTATTTTTATTTTTCTCCGAGGTAGTCACTGTTATCGGAGGTCTTAAGAAGTTCAGAGGACCGTGATGCGTTGCAGGACTGACAGGCATCGCGTTTCCCCCTCCTAGGCTCATTCTACCCCAGACCCAGCAAGCTCTAAACTTCACACACACACACACAAACCCCAAGCCATACGGCTAATCCTAAATACTAAAGATTGAACGGTGTGGAGTCTCGTTTAGGATTTTGGTATTCAGGGGTTGGGTTTTAGCTCCTTTGTAAGATCTCCGCTTTCCGTCCATGTAAGCTCCCCTTTCTTCTTCGGTTTGTTTGCTGCAGCCGTCTAGCAAAAATGACTCAGCGACAAGCATTGGGTCCATGGTCCTGAGCTTTGTAGCCCAGACCCCAGACACCCTAAACCACAAACCCAAAAACCCCAGATCGCAATGGAACAAAGCGCATGTTTTAGGGCCTCGTAGCTTGCCAGCGGACAACTAAAGAGGTGATCTTGAGTGGGCTTTCGAGCCCCAAACTTGGCGATGTCTATGCCAGAAGCTACAGAACCTCCCAAACACACTCAGAATGCCAAACCCCTAGACATCCAAACCCCGGACTCTCGAGAGCCATGGCGGTGGTGCTCCTGCCGGGAAGCGTCGAGGAGGAAGAGGCAAGCAATGGATTGGCTTCGAGAGTTGTTGGAATGCTTATGGCTTAGGATTCAAGGGTTCGGGCTACTTTTGTAACGTCTGGGGTAGGATTTTGGGGCTTGGGGTTTGCGGTTCAGGGTGTAGGATCTCGGTCGGTGTAGAACCCCGAAGCCCAAACCCCAGATACGGAAATTTGAGTCCCGTCGGTCATTCAGGGGTCAGTCGAGCCTGATGTTCCTTCGCTGGGCCGAAGGAGTGGTGACCTTTCTGGGGTGCACTACTACGGTTCTGCCCCGTAACGTATTGGACAATCGGGACTTGAGTTGCGCAATCGTTTTATGCAAACACCAAAAATCCGGGATATAAAGTCCGAATCGCAAAAATCTTCAACCGGCACCTTCAATTTTCAGTACCGAACTCCCGAACCAGAAGCCCGCATCCAAGTCCTTCATGACATAATTTACCCAGCCGTTCGAGTCAGCCAGAGAGGCGCTGACGGTCATCAATGCCGCGCGGCAGGCGACCAGAGTCCATAGAGATGAGAAGGTGTTGCGAGTGCGGTTAGCAGGCATTGCAGTCATAAGCAGTCAGATCCTGATACTCAGGATTCCTAAAGCGGAATTCTGGATTCCAACGGGCCCTGATTTGTGCATAATTCCTAAGCCCACGGTCTGGAAGAAGTTTCTGCCACAGGACCTCCTCGTGGGCCAGCATGTGGGGAAGCAGTGGGATGCCACGAAGACGTCGCACGCCCAGAGAAGCACGGGCTCTGGTCTCTTGGGGTTTAGAAGGGCCCAGGTCAGAAAGGTTTGGCTTACTAAGCGCTTTCAGATCACACAGTAGTATCTATGTCGAGGTCTCGTTCAGTGCAGTTGGTTTTTGTGTGTTTTGTACTTGATCCTAATCTCGAGGGGGTGCGCTTGCTTCTGGAACCGTTTGCGAGCCTTTCGGGCGTGTCCTGTGAATGGTGCCGAACACCGATATCAAGAAGCCGTGACAAAGTGGTTGTTCCGGAGTCTATGGTTCTTCATGTTTGCGAAGCGGTCATGCGTTTCGTGCTCTTCCAGCATGCACGGCGATACTTACATTTGGCACAGCACTGTCGAGCTTTGGGGCATCTCCTCATCCCGACACAACCTTGAACCCTAGATAAAACTTCGGTTTTGGACGATAACAAGAAGCATCGAGGCCCAAACACTCAAACTAGGGTTCTAGAGGTTGCTGCACGATGATGTTTATTCGGGAGCCGTATGGAATGACATTCCGAACCTTTCGGACCCCTATGGTGATACCCACAAAAATTCATGAATAGACTTGGTAAGGGTCTGCCGGTTGGAGTGCTGGTTTGTGCATGTGTCCTGGGAGTCTTAGCTTGATCCAACGAAGCTGAACCCAATGACCGTGCAGCCCCAAAACAGGGTTTAACATTTAGGGTTTAGGTTTGGGGGCTCAGGGTCAACCGTTGAGGCCGTGTAGCTGAAGTCCGAATCCCACCGAAAGCCCGAAGCGCTGAAGACCCATCCCGATGGCTCTGAACACAGGCCGTGGCTCATGAGGAAGGAAGCGGGTTCCTGTCATCAGGCAAGTTACAGAAGCACCCCACCATCCTGAAAGTTTGTTTGGGTTTCCCGATTCTCCAACAGCTCTACATTCTACATCCGAGCCCTGACATCCCGAGCTTCTACCTGATTCTATGGCTAATTATGTAGCTTCGAAGCGAACCCTGCCATCGTGCACACGCTGTTTGAAACCTAGCGGTTTCTGGCTCAGGGTTCAGAGCCCAGAGCGTACCCTGGCATCCACAACACCTTCCACTGCGCCACCCATCAGCCA